AAAGAAAGATTTTGTACTAGAAATAGTACATCGTGTAACATATTAGCTAGACCGTCCGTTTTCAAGATTTTCGTATGTTTATAGATCTACTTGATTTTAACCTTTTTTGGAGTTTAAATTTTTATAATTAGATATGAAAAAAAAATTTAAGATAATCATAAGATTTTTTTATATCAAAATTACATGTTATGATAAAATTTGGAAGTGAGCCGTAATTGGATTGTTTATGGTTGTAACCTTATAGAAACCACACCCAACATATAATAATAATATATACTTTTAAAATTCAGATCGGATCAGAATCGAATCCACTTATACCCAAATGCGATCTGAATTACTGTTGCGATTTAAATTTTTGGATCCGGATCTTAATATCAAATCCAAATCTTGAACCCATATCCAGATCCGAATAAGATCCAAAATTAGAGTTTCAAATCCGAATAACGTAAAAATTCTCAGCCCCATTCCGAACTACTCGGCCGAGTCTCTAGTAATGTACACAAATAGAAATATATAAAACTCCAAATATGTGGAAAAAAAAAACTTCACAAAAATCCTTTCCACTGCCTCCACATGTTTCGCATATCTCTTTCAAAAAACATCCTTTCCACTGCCTCCACATGTTTCTCATATCTCTTTCAAAACAAGTGGCAGAAAGCTTTTTTACTCTTAGGGCTTCTTGTATCCCTCTCTCCTGTGAGTTTAGTATCCGAGGGTTACGACTTTTCTCAACAGAAGAAGAAGCAAGAAGATGAAAGAGAAAAAGGAAGAGGAAGCAAGAAGGTGCAAGAGGAAGAGAGAGAAACTGCCAATTGCTATGTGAGGTTCTTGGTCAAATTAATGGCCGTTTATAGAAAACCGCATCATTTTTGTGCTTTTTACAATCTTACAATTAAGGGTTACTCAGCCTAATCAGAGTGGACTCGCCTCGTCACTCCGGTCAGGCCAGGTTACTCGGCCTAATCCGAATGGGCTAAGCCGAGTAATAGTACACTGACATTTGCACTCATTCCCCATCTATATAGCACAATACATATTTCCTTTCTAATACCATTGAATATCAAAAAACTCAAAAATTTCCCATAATCAACTTTTCAAAATCAATGACTTCAGTAAAGGAATCTTTAAACCCCTTTCAAAATCAATGACTTCAGTAAAGGAATCTTTAAACCCCTTTATCTTTCATGTACAAGGCTTGCTTGACTTTGTTAGTTACCCTTAATTTAATGCTTTGGTGAAGATGGTAGCCACTTATTTGCAGGTTGTTATGTATATCAAGTCAATAACCTAGCTCAATACCTTCTCACAAACAAAGTGATAGTTTATACGTGCATGAAAAACTGAATTTAAGGCAAAATTCATTGAATTGATATATTTTTACGAGTAGAAACACTGTAATCCATGGCTTCTCCAAAATTCTAGAACAATAAGGTCAACCACACAATTTGGCTTGTAACCATTATGGCTCTCCATATTCTAATTGTGTGGACTGTGGGCTGCTTCTTGCTTACCAATGATATATTTCCAAAACCCAAATGAAAACTTTATCTAGACATCAAGTGATGAGCATTTGGGTCTCCTGCCTAATCAGTATCACAATAACCTTATGATATAAATCCCATTAGTTAAAAACCTCTTTTTCCGAGTTGCAAAGTGATTTCCTATAGGAGTTCACAAACTCTATATCTTGCATTTTTGGTAAATCTCATAATAACTAGACATTGAGCTAGAGAGAGAGATTACAAACTTTGTAGGCTAAATTTCAGGTCAATCTCATAATTGCCCAGTAATTTTGAGACAAGTGTGAGATATTGAAAACAGAGAAGGTTAGGAGGCATACCTGAATGGATTTTTTTCCCAATGACTTTTGAAATATTTGATGAAAAGAGGAATAGAAAAAGAGAGAGAG